TGCCACACCACAGGTCCCTTGGGAGAGTGACGGGTCACTCTCATGTAACCCCGTTACACTCCATAAAGACGGCCAATGTGACCGCCTCAGCGAGAGTATCAGCTGCCACACTGGCAATGCGAGTTCTCAAATATAACGCTTGTTGGTACCACCTCCTACTCTTTTCTTCGTTTCCTTTCAATACGACAAGCTGTCGATATTCACCGTTGTCGTATTTGGAATATATGTTTCCTCCAAAATCGGAAAATTGCAGAACAAATTCGCCGTTTTATTGGAGCCAATCATAACGAGAAGTGTATGTTGGGCACGTTGGCTGCTAGTATCATGCTGTGCTGGACATCGCGTTCTATTCTTGTGGATAATAAAAGAAGCGCAAAAAGGCTCCTTGTTTTCTAGATTCTCTTGTATTCGCTGCTGGGTAGAGCGTGCAAGCCCGTCCGCTTGTAAACGCGAACTCGTCGACGCAGAGGCGATATGCATGAATCCCTAGTTATCACGTCAACAACTGAGATTTTGTAAGACTGTATTTCCTCTACGTATAGATCAGTTGTTGCTTAATGCATCTTATCTCGGGACAGTATAACATGCTTCCTAAGCTCCTATCTCTAGATATTTTAGTGTCATTGAGGGATTGGCAGCTCGAGTGCTAAAAGAAGTGATTGGTCGCCTCAATCATCCATTAATAATGATATACGCTGGTGAGAGACCGCAAGAAACATCTATTAAAGGCGTACGTGGGAGACTCAGGGAGGAATACTAAATGTATGCGTTTTACAACATACCTCTTATAATATAAATACCGATATTTTGGCCACAAGAACATCAAGAGTACTGTGATTCTTATTGTATCGGATTAAATGTAAAAGGATCTAGTAGTCTATTGTAACGCTCATAGCATGAAGATTTTCTTGTAAGCGGCAGAAATGGTGTCAGAAAACTCTTAATTGAGACACATCAAGATTCTTGATGAAATCACAGTAACCTATGAAGTTACATTCGATACATGCTCGGCTGCGACACAGAAACAGATACGGATAGCATGGATAATAAAAGCTTATATGCTGAGTAATGATGATGATGTTAGCTTGAAAGCATAAAAGAATGACGTGGTCTTCAGAAAAACTGACAGTCCTACCGCTTCATCCGTCAGTGCTGGTTGGTAAAGGTTCTGGTTAAAAAACCGTTAGTTGACCCGGCTTCATATGGCTCTATCTGGGACTCAGATTCATGATGTGAGCAAAAACCAAACAATGCTTTTTCAGCCCCATGTTTGAGTTGACGTTGTAGCTTCGGCATGCATAGTTTTGAACGTTTAATCTGCTACAACATCCACCACAAACTGTAAACACACTGAACACACACAAGACACAGAGATAATTGACACACGGTGTAGACTCCGTTAACCTCAGCTTCATGTTCTATAGAGCTATAAAGGAAGCATGCTAAATTTTCGAAGTGTGGTGATACTAAAAACAAAGATGGGATAAGGCTATACAAAAAGGTTACATCTGTATGCGGCATATGTAACTTGGCATATGACATGCCTACAGATTGTGAGTACTATGAGTACTATCCAACGAGAACAATAATCGTTCGGTATATACGCAATGTGTCTACACGACTTTGAAAATGGCATCTTGTTATCTCGAGCTGTACGCGCACGAATAGCGTCTATCAATGCGAACCAATAAATTGCCAAACGTTTATTTATGCATAAGGTTTCTATTGCATCGTAATGGAAGATGCAGTAGATAAATTGAAGTTCGACCAGACAACGCTACAAGCTCAAGTGAGCCGAATAGGTTGCGACCAACATCTAGATTGTCATTTTGTACTTTTTGTGAGCTATACCAATTATGCTCATTGATCATGCATGTACCATATGGGATAAGCAGGAAGGAAGGGACCATCTCTCTATTCCTAATACGTGCATTAGCACTATCTCTCCAGTCCCCATTTTTCCGTGTAGCGCCAATGAATTGCAACCGCGCAATCAGCATTCTTATTGCTGCAATCATTTGCTCGACAGCTAATGCGTGGTTGTCTCCAATCGTTACCAAGGGTAACAAATTCTTCGATTCTGTGACTGGACTCGAATTTCGCATGAAAGGAATCGCATATTATCCTCGCCCCAATAGTGGAGAGCTAGCCGGCGTCAGTAATTATGACTGGGCCGCCGACAAGCACGAGGCTATATGGAAACCTCACCTGAAAATCATGAAGGACCTCGGAGTCAACACCATTCGACTTTATTCTGTCGATCCGAGTATCTCACACGATAAATTTATGTGCGCCTGCTCCGAAGCTGGTATTTACGTTCTTATTGGCCTCACTGCTCCGTAAGTATTCAATCTTATTGTCAACCAGGATTAACATGGCGAATTTTTTGCTATCGTGCTAGATGTGAGAATTGTTCAGTCTTGGACCTGCTCCCACCTAAATGCTACCCCGACGACCTATTCACTCGAGGTCAAATGGTCTATAATGCATTTGCAGTTTATGACAATACTCTAGGTTTCAGCGTTGGCAATGAGAACAATTTGCAAGTGAAAAATGGAGCTGATGGCACAGCAACAGCTCCGTGTGTCAAAGCTTTTTTACGTGATCTGCGAAGTTATGCAGCTAGCTGCACTGGATCAGTCCGTCAGGTTCCACTGGGACTAGATATTGCGGATATCCCGCCTCGTGAGCAGTGGATTTCATACTATGACTGCCCTGTAGATGATGACGAGAATACCCGTGCCGAGTGGTACGACAATTATCAGTTAATTATGCAATATTTTGTATCTGACAATTTAGTGCTACTTTGAACAGGATGGGATTCAATCCATACGTGGAGTGCGATCCCACAACTCATGCCAAGTACTCACAATCGACGGGTTTAAAGACATTAATGGCCGAATATGCTAAAGTTGGCTACGCGCGTCCGATAATGTTTGGAGAATTCGGTTGTAACAAGGGTCTGAATACTGTTGATGGCTATGAGAATCAGCGCTCATTTTATGACGTAAGATGTCCGGAAACTCTTTTCCATCTCTTCATAACTAATTAGTTGACGTAATGTTTGAATGCAGGCGAAATGGATGAATGAGGAAAAGGAAATGACAGACGAAATTGTCGGGGGAAACGTGTTTGAGTTCTCCACGGAGATGGCCAATTTACTAGACCGTGTTGGTAAGATACTTCGAATTATTGTTTTTTGTCTTGAAACAAATTTAATTTGATTCTGATCTATAGCGGTGACTAGAACATCCGACGAAGGGAAATACGGAGTAGGATTCTTCCATCCGCTAAATTGTGACCATGTTAAGGTGAAGTGCGAGTTTACGCCGTACCCTGAGTACGAAAACCTCAAAGAAGCGTACACGACCACAATTGCGTCGAAATTAAAGCAGAGTAATCATACATCGCCACGTGACACCATTTTAACCTGCCCAAAAGGTATCTCAGCTAATTTGCCACCAACTCCACCGGGTAAGCAAGTAACAGAGTCTGCGTGAGATCATCTCATTGCTGATAATGTATGTGTATACTATTTTTGCAGTGACGCTTTTGGCGTGCGCGGCCTCCCAACCAGTCTGCAACGGCAAATTAGCAAATGCATATGAACACTTTGATTCCCAGACAACAGTAGGCGAGAAACGAGTTCCCTCGAACAAAAAAAGTTTGGGGCTTGCGAGTGATGCTACCCGCAATCTATCGAAAGCAGCAGTCGTCGCCTTTGTAGCGCTAGTTTCTGTGTTTCTCTTGTATTAAGCTTGGCTGCGATCAATTCTGCACTGTACTTTGGAAGAATCGAAGTAATAGCTTAAATAGTCAGAAGTTACACCATGAACATCACAATTTTGAGTCCAATCAGTCAGAGTATCGTGGAGAATACTCCATTGTTGTAGCTTTGAGTTCATCTGCGATTTATAGTATTCGAAATGGGCAACGCGATAGTTTATAATAAATTGTCTTTTGAGAGCACATACAGATTTGAGAAAAATGTTAAAAACAGAAATATGGTGTGCGTATACTTCACAATTGAAATAAAAACATCGGATAAAGCATATTTTTTTTGATGGGAGGGAGACACACCCATAAAAAATAGGAACGTGGACTGCTAGAATCATTGTAAATCATACCACTTGTTTGCAATTTCAAAAGTTACTTAAATTAAGCATTATTTATTGTTAGGCTAAGTAGGTCTTGTTACTCTTGATAGCACTTGAAGTCGAATCGACGAATGTGGAGCGACGCTGCCATCGCTTAGCGCTTGAGTAAGCGTAATTGAGGTCACCGACCTTTCTTTATTTAAAAGAACCAATACGAGTGTAGCGGACCGCAATCTGTACCAAGGCTAATAAACCCTTCGGTTAAAATTCAGAGCTGATTTTTATTTATTTTATCTGCGGCAAAACCGCCTAATTTTAAATGTATAGATTTTCCTAAATATATATAGTAGG